CCGTCAGCCCGAACTCCCGGAACACCTCCACGATAATGGTCATCATCCTCGCCAGGCCGTCGGCGGACTTCGACACAACGCCGGCATCGTCGGCATATAGCATCCCCCACACCGCCCTCCGGACTCGGTCCAGCAATCCCTCCCCCCTCCGTTCCTCCTCCTTCAAGTACACTAGGTCCCGCACGATAACCTCATCTTGGCTGAACCGTGTGACAATGATCTCGAGAGGCGCTGCGAAGAAGACGTTGAACAGCAGTGGGGACATTGAGCACCCTTGTCGTAATCCCTGCGTGACCGGGAACCAGTCCGATAGCTCCCCATCGTCCGTGCGGACCCGGGCCCGCATTCCGACGTGGAACTTGCGGATGACGGCGATCATCTCCCCGGGGATCCCGGCCCGGGCCAGCACCTTCCACAGTAGCTCCCGGTCCACCGAGTCATATGCTCGTAGACCCATACAATTGTAGCTGGTTCTTGTACTTCTGTACTCCTCTGTCCCCTCCCCAATGTGAGCCCTGCCGGCTCACTACAGCTCCTGTGATTTCCCACAATTCCCACAAGCACGCAGGCGCACCACAGCACAAACACCTACCTTTGCATCAGTGGCTCTCTAGGTTCGGGCGAGGGTTTGTGTAAGGACATGATGATAGTGTATATGTTACTGCTACTGTATGTTGGACTCGTATATACTGCTGCTGAATGATATAGCTGCTGACACGATGACTCCTGGATCTTGGGAATGTATGTACTATTTTCAAATTTGGAGGATATGCAGCATACCACGATCATGTCCTGGCCTTGTTGGACTTGAAGTGCCCCTTTTCGCTGTCATCCTGTCTTTCNGCGCACCACAGCACAAACACCTACCTTTGCATCAGTGGCTCTCTAGGTTCGGGCGAGGGTTTGTGTAAGGACATGATGATAGTGTATATGTTACTGCTACTGTATGTTGGACTCGTATATACTGCTGCTGAATGATATAGCTGCTGACACGATGACTCCTGGATCTTGGGAATGTATGTACTATTTTCAAATTTGGAGGATATGCAGCATACCACGATCATGTCCTGGCCTTGTTGGACTTGAAGTGCCCCTTTTCGCTGTCATCCTGTCTTTCCTTGAGTGGCTTCCTAGATTTGGGCGAGGGCATGTATGTGGAGTTATTGATGTATGCCTCTGTGAAAGGATATGGCGAGGGATTCATGGTGGCATTTGCATTTAGAGCAGTGTGCATTTTTCGAATTTTGGCCGGTCCAGGGACCTGATATTACCCGCTGGCACTGCTGTGACGTCGTTGTATTTGTCACCGGGTAGCGCGGTCGATGCGGTCGATGCGAATAATAAAGACACACCTACCTATTGACTTACCAACACCTGGCGTGGAGGGATACAGAGTAACAACTCCATGGCATGCCACAACATCATCATTTGCAAGNGTCCAGGGACCTGATATTACCCGCTGGCACTGCTGTGACGTCGTTGTATTTGTCACCGGGTAGCGCGGTCGATGCGGTCGATGCGAATAATAAAGACACACCTACCTATTGACTTACCAACACCTGGCGTGGAGGGATACAGAGTAACAACTCCATGGCATGCCACAACATCATCATTTGCAAGTGATCAATCAATGATCATTCAGGACGCCTGTAGACCCAAAAGGGTTGCAACATTTTGTCAGCAAAATAACTTGACATTAGTGTCGTGCAATTTCCATTTTGGTTTAAACCTTTGTTTTTTGCCTTGATACGGGGGTTACTATCGTGGCTGAAATTCTGTCTAATTCGACATATTTCGAAAGTCATCGCACAAAACGCGAATCGAAAAATTGTCCAGGACGGACCATATGTGCAGTCGACACAGCAGTAGTCTTCTTGCTCTGTGTAGGCTTCGTGACCCAGATGACTGACTCCTGGTGTACAGGATATTCCACCGTGGGGTTGGGCAGATAACTCTTCGTTGAAATAGCCTCCCACGTCGATTTTTGTCTCCTCAGCAGTTCACCTCGATTCTGGCAATCAACAAGATTTTAGCGAGATTCGCCGCCGCGCATACAATGGGCACTGAACAACTGCAACCGCCGCACTGCCTCTTCACTCCAGTCGCCGTATGGATCGCCAGTCCTCTCACAATATGGAAGGCGCACCATGGTGGTACTGCCTGCCTGCCATGTCACCCGATGCTGTGTGCCATGAGGGAATGCGTGTGGGCGGCGAGGCAGCAAAAATGTGTGTGTATGCGCTGTATGCACACATTAGAGACCTGTGTTCCTATACATGCGAACAGACCTGTGTCGCCTGGGTGACAACTGCACTGCTGTTGCAGGTTAACTGCTGCCGTTGTTTGTTCGGAGGTGGAACAGATTATTACATTACCAGCGGGCTTCATCATGAAGTTGCAACTGCTGTCCGATAATCGTGTAGCACCCACCATCATCCGTCATAATCGATGTAGCGTTGTTGTTGCGCTGCTGTACGGTGTTGGCCGTACATCACCACGGCGGCAGCACACACCGCTACATACTGAGAAGCAGCAGATGCGAAGGAAACAAGACGCTGGAACTGCTTCGAAAACGCCACATACCATGCGAACTTCGGTCCATTACAACGCACCAAAAATATTGCTGTAGTAGTCACTTCCCCACAACAGACAGCACGACACGTGTGCCACCATTGTTGCAACACCGCGCCTGCTTGTCAAAACCCATGCTATTAGGACATCGGTTACACGTGAAGGCACACTTGTTACTGTCGAACAGCCAAACCGAAACGAGCACTAGCGCCAAAATACCGCAACAAACGTCCAACGCAACACATTTCTCCCCCTCAAGAAAACCACCTGAACAACAAATATGTGTGTCTCTACCCCTCGCTCCCGTATGCATATATGTGTGCAGACGAAGACAACGAATGATAAAACATCATCACAATGTACAGCCCCTGCCTGCAGGATCCAATCAAACGGGCCTTTCCTCCTTTTTCGCCCCCATCGCAATCACTCCCAGCAGCGGACAACACCACCTCGACCCGGCCGCCACCCCCGCCCCGGGCCGCCACCGGCGGCGGGCAATACCCCCCGAACAAAACTCTCCCGTTCCCGCCGCTGGCCTGGCCCGCCATGGGTGGCGGGCAACACTGCGCGAAGAAATACTCCCGCCCCCGCCGCTGGTCCACCCCCGCCCCCCCCCCCCCCCCCCCCCCCCCCCCCCCCCCCCCCCCCCCCCC